ACTCCAGGGGGCGCTGCTTACATAAACATGGTCGCTCTTGGTTTCACCATCTTATATGGTGGGACCCTGAAGTTCAGAATGGTGGAGTAGTTTGCTCAAGGTCACACAGCAAGTTAAGTAGGAGAAATGGAGTTTCAACCCAGTTCTGTCTGACCTTTGTGACATGGACACATTTGTGTCAAGTTAACAATTCCCAGGAGCTTGATGTTCCGGGTTCCCAGTGTTTGGAAGAGGGTGGAGGCTCAGAGAGGAGAAGAGTCAGAGCCCAAAGGGAGTTCCCAGCATTAAACTGCATTTAGTGGAAGAGATTAGTCAGAGAAATGTGTCAATTGCCACAGTAGAGGATCTAATGTGTGTGTGTACATGTGTGTATGTGTGTGTGTTAGTCTCTTCTCAGGCTGCTGATAAAGACGTACCCGAGGGCTGGGCGCGGTGGCTCACGCCTGTAATCCCAGCACTTTGGGAGGCCAAGGCAGGCAGATCACGAGGTCAGGAGATCGAGACCATCCTGACTAACACGGTGAAACCCCATCTCTACTAAAAATACAAAAAATTAGCCGGGCGTGGTGGCGGATGCCTGTAGTCCCAGCTACTCGGGAGGCTGAGGCAGGAGAATGGCATGAACCAGGGAGGCAGAGCTTGCGGTGAGCTAAGATCGCGCCACTGCACTCCAGCCTGGGCGACACAGCGAGACTCCGCCTCAAAAAAAAAACAAAAAAAAAAAAAGACATGCCTGAGACTGGGTAATTTATAAAGAAAGGGAGGCTTAATGGACCCACAGTTCCACATGGCTGGGGAGGCCTCACAATCATGGTGGAAGGTGAAGGAGGCACACATCTCACATGGCAGCAGGCAAGAGAGCTTGAGCAGGGGAACTGCCCTTTATAAAACCATAAGATCTCAGGAGACTCATTCACTATCATGAGAACAGCACGGGAAAAACCCACCCCCATGATTCAATTACCTCCCACTAGGTCCCTCCCAAGACATGTGGGGATTATGGGAGCTACAATTCAAGATGAGATTTGGGTGGGGACACAGCCAAACTATATTGGTGCATACACATGTGTATATGTGTGTGTGTGCATGTGTGTATTTTGTGTGTATGTGTCTGCGCGTGTGTGTGTGTGTGTATATGTGTGTATGTGCCTGTGTATGGGTACGTGGGTGTGCAAGCAGTGCTTGTATTTTAGATGAAACTTCACATGCGTCATCTGCCGTTCCTCTCCATTATAGCTCTGCCTTGGAAGTTTACAATCCTGAATGGGCAGAGTGGATAGTTTGAGAGATCCCCGTGCTTTAGAATTCACAGGTACAGCCACAGGTACGATTCTGAAGGACCAACCGTAGGGGACCTCCCAATTGTCAGGTAGCAAGGATGTCAAGCTGCCCACTGAGATGGAAGATGCCACTCCCAGGCCCAGACAGAGATGAGGCCCTGCCTGGGAGGGAAGCGGATGGGTTCAGGAGAGCCACCCCGCCTAGGCCTCTTCCTCACTCCCTCCCATGCTCCCTCCAAGGGCTGCCTGTTTCAGGGGCTGGCTTGTGCAATCCTGTGCTTCCTATGCATGCAGCTGGGAGTGTTTGCAGGAGGGAAGAGCTGAGGGTTTGTTGCCGCATGACGGCAGACCAGCCTGGGTGCTCTCTTCTCCCGAGTTGCACTTTCTGGGCAGCCAGATGGACTGGGCAGGAGGCAGCAAGGGAGTGGGGCATCCCCCTAAGAATGCAAGTGTAGCAGTGTGGAGGGCCAGGAGGCTGTGTGCACGCACACCTGGAGGGAAGGCAGGTGCAGCCACTGACTCATCTGGGCTGGGTGTGGTGGTTCAGGAAGTGTGGGTCTCCATGATCCTGAGCCTGCTGATAAAGACATACCCGAGGGCTGGGTGCGGTGGTTCACACCTGTAATCGCAGCACTTTGGGAGGCCAAGGCAGGCGGATCATGAGGTCAGGAGATTGAGACCATTCTGGCTAATACAGTGAAACCCCGTCTCTACTAAAAATACAAAAAATTAGCCAGGCGTGGTGGTGGGCACCTGTAGTCCCAGCTACTCGAGAGGCTGAGGCAGGAGAATGTACAGAGGCTCGAGACACACCCAGCTTCACTCCTTCCTTAAAGAGAAAAGTTACCCCATTGTTCTTACAGTAGGACCACAGAGCTGTTCCCTGGGCCATCAACACAACAAAGGCTCTGTGAAGCAGGGATCTGCTTCCATTTATCCTGCAGGTCCTTCCGGCATGTGTCCTGGATGTGCCCAGCCCCAGACCAGGTGCTGGGGGCTCTGGTGAGCAGACAGAACCGGCCCACGTCATTTGTGCTGGTTGTTTTCTTGCCCCGCAGGAACGTGGGCTTAGGGGAAACCACACTCGGCTCCCAGTCAGGCGCCAGGCTTTGGTACCCAGGTTGCATGTTGCACCCACTGGAGAAGTCCCTGAACCTCTCTGAGTTTTGGTTTCTTACCTGTTGAGCTCAGATAATCCCTAACTCCCTGCCCGCAACCCAGCACTGCACAGATAATCCCTAACTCCCTGCCGGCAACCCAGCACTGCACAGATAATCCCTAACTCCCTGCCGGCAACCCAGCCCTGCACAGATAATCCCTAACTCCCTGCCCGCAACCCAGCACTGCACAGATAATCCCTAACTCCCTGCCCGCAACCCAGCACTGCACAGATAATCCCTAACTCCCTGCCCGCAACCCAGCACTGTTGCATGGAGCGCGTGAGGGTGGCAGAGCACAGGGGGTTTTCTCGGCCAGAGCAGGGGCAAGCTAGGTTTGGGAAGCAAGGCTGGCACCCTCAGCTGAGCCTCTGTGGCATGGATTTCTATTCCCTGGGAGCTGTCAGTGGGACGGAAGTGATTTCACAGACTTCTAGGGTGTCCGAGCTGGAAGGAGCCCTGAGGATCACTTGGTCCAGGCTTTTCACTATACAGATGGGGAGACTGAGGCTCAGAGGAGGGAGTGACTTGTCTAAAATAACACAGCTGGTCGATGTGATGAGGGTGCATCAGGCATTAGGCTGAGGACTGTCTTTCTTGGTGGGACCCTGTCTCAAGAACCTCTGCTCTGCCAGGAAGAACTCCAGGCCTGGGGCAAGGTTGGAAAGGTTGTGGAGCGATGAAATGGATTTTTTTTTTTTTAGGCAAAGCCAGCACTCACAGTGGCTCTGCCATCTATAGCTACCCCCGAAACATCAGTGTTCACCCAAAACCTCAGTGCGGGGGACCCCTGGGCCTCCCTCTGTCTCCTCTGCCCTGTCATTAGCCTGCGGAGCCAATCAGAAGTAGAAAATGACTGTGATGAAAAGAAGGTGCATTAACACTTTGGGAGGCCGAGGCGGGTGGATCACTTGAGGTCAGGAGTTTGAGACCAGCCTGGCCAACATGGTGCAACCCTGTCTCTACCAAAAATACAAAAAATTAGCCAGGCGTGGTGGCAGGCACCTGTAATCCCAGCTACTCAGGAGACTGAGGCAGGAGAATTGCTTGAGCCTGGGAGGCAGAGGTGGCAATAAACCAAGATCGTGCCACTACACTCCAGCCTGGGCAATAGAGCGAGACTCCATCTCAAAAAAAAAAAGAAGAAGAAGAAAAGAAAAAAAAAAAGAATATGCATTAACACATTTCTAATACTGCGCTTTTTCTCCCCAAAAGAATTTGAGATCACTTCTAATAAAACCCCACATATTCTAGGGGAAGATAACACAGCTGAAAGAGGTCTCAGACACGCGGCAGAGAAAGGAAGACCTGTGTGACCAGTCAAGGTGGCCTCCCGGCCCCAGCTCAGCCCCACACTTGTCCCTGGGCTCCCTCCTGTCTTACATGTTCTTGGCGTGGGCTCCTGAGAGCTGGGCTTAGGATCTGCCCTCTCCCCAGCCTGCATTCAAGCAAGAGCTGGTCATGTAGGCTGATCGTGCACCTGCCCATCTCCTTGTTAGTTCTGCAGAAGGTGCACATGGCTCTTCTCTGGCAAAACCTCGTAAAAGGGAGATGAAGCAGCCTTCAACCTTGCAAGGAGTTAAACTAATGGGAGCCAAAACACCTTTTTCTTACAATCGGACTTGAATCCTGGCTAGTCCTTGGAGAATCCAAAAGAATGGGTGATAAGAGTGTTCCTAGGGCCGGGCGCAGTGGCTCACGCCTGTAATCCCAGCACTTTGGGAGGCCGAGGCAGGTGGATCACTTGAGGTCAGCAGTTCGAGACCAGCCTGGCCAACATGGTGAAACCCCATCTCTACTAAAAATACAAAAATTAGCCAGGTATAGTAGCACATGCCTGTAATCCCAGCTACACATGAGGTTGAGGCAGGAGAACTGCTTGAACCCCGGAGGCGGAGGTTGCAGTGAGGCGTGCCACTGCACTCCAGCCTGGGCAACAGAGTGAAACTCCATCTCAAAACAAAAAAGAGGAGTGTTCTGGGACCCCCTCTATTTCTGGTCTCACTTTGCTGTTGGTGGGTAACCCCCAGGTGAGCTCTCAGGTGAGTTAAGTTGACACAAATGTGACAAAAGTCAGACAGAACTGGGTTCAAACTCCACTTCTTCTACTTGTTGTGTGACTCTGAGCCAATTACTCCACCATTCTGAACTTTAGGATCTCACTCTATAAGATGGGGAGACCAAGAGGGACCATGTTTATGTAAGCAGCGCCCCCTAGAGTTGTGTGACGAGGTGGCCAGGCCGTGCCACAGTTCTTTGGAGCTTGGGCTCTGTCTGGATTTGATCCTGGCTCTGCCACTTCTGAGCTGTGGGATCCCAAGGCAGGCTCCACACCTCTCCGTGCCTTTGCACCTCCAGCTGTCTTAACGGGGAGAACGACAGTTCCTCCCTCACACAGTTGCAGGGCCGGTGCTTGACTTACCAATTGGCGCTCGATGCAGAGCTAGCAATACCCGGTGCAGAAGTTCAGGGCTTTCTCCCATGGCGGTGGGCGGTGCCGAGCAGCTGGCCAAGAGGTCCCCTTGATTGTGACTACTTCTTCCTGTCTTCCTGCTCTCTCCAGGCCAAACAGTCCTTAGCTACGCTGACCAAGGATGTCCCCAAGCGGCATTCCCTCGCCATGCCGGGCGAGACGGTGCTCAACGGCAACCAGGAGTGGGTGGTGCAGGCGGACCTCCCGCTGACCGCAGCCATCCGGCAGAGTCAACAGACTCTCTACCACTCACACCCCCCTCACCCGGCGGACCGGCAAGGTGAGTCCTGCCCTGGCCCGGCCCCACCACGATTTCGAGGGGCTTCACAGGAGGCCATCCGACCCAGTGGGAGAGGCAGCTTCTTTGTTCACACTACAGCAGCTTAGGGGGTGTGGGGCAGAGACCTTGAGCTCATGTAACTGAAAAATCTAAGAGATGGACAGCAGGCGTAGCTGGATCCAGAGGTTCAAACACTATTTGGGTCCCTCTGACCATGTCTCTCCATCTCTTAGCTCTGCCCACTTCCTTTTGGCCTCATCTTTAGGCTGTCTCTTTCTGTAAGAAAGTAAAATAGTCCCCTGCAGTTCCAGATGTTTAAGACCCTCACAGCTCAAGACTTAAGGAAGAAAAACTATCTCTTCCCTCTGTGTCCATAGCAAATCCTAAAGAAGGACTCTGATTGGCCACGTCAGAGTCACATGGGCATCCTTTGGCAGGAGAGGCAGTAGAACTGCTTGATTGACAGCTCTGGCCAATCGCAGGGCATCCAGGAGGGGCTGATGTCAATGTCACAGGTGTTTGCTCCAGGCACTCGGCAGGAAAGTCTGGCCTCTGGGCAGCATCTGTACCCACTGCCCATGGAACAGGCTCCAAACTCCTCGCTGTCCTGTTGCACGTCTGCAGGCCACCTTGCTCTGTTCTCTGTCCCTTCTGCAAGTAGGTGCCCTTACATGATAGATGCAAGTTGTGATAGACGCAAGTTTGGTCATCCTCATCTACCTCTGCAGGGCCTCTCCTCAATGGAGCTGGCTCTGGTCTGGGAAAGCCTGGACAGGCTGACGGATCTGCCCTCTGGGTCCTTCCTCCTCCACAGTATCTGCCGCACATACAACCATCTCCATGCATTTTATCAGACACCCCCTCCTCCAGGAAGCCTTCCATGCTCTCTCCCCTGTGTCCTCTATGCTCCTGTAAAGTTGGGGGTTCACCTGCATCAGAGCACCTCTTACCCTACCTCAGGTTTGCTGTCGATGCATTTGTCACATGACTCCTCCCATCTGTCCAGTGCCTGGCACTGTGGTAGGCACATCATACATGCAGCTACTCTCTGGGATTGATACCACTGGCATCCACCCCCATGTTACACATAACAAACCTGGCTCAGAGGGGCCAGGCAGGATGCTCAAGGTCACACAGCCTATAGGGTAAACTCACCCAGATTGGAATTGACTCCAAAGCCAGGGCTCCTTCAGCCACCAATCTTCTGTGTTAGAACATACGGCCATTGGCGGCAAGGACTGTGTGTTGCAGGAATGCTACCCTACCTGCTGGCATGCCGCCTGCACATAGTAGGTGCTTAGCCAGTCTTGTCAAACAAAAGATGCTTTCTCCATCCAGTGCCAATGCCTGCAGACAGGAGAGCAACCTGCTGGGGACTTGGAAGGGCTTCTGAGCTGTGGCTTCTGGTCTGGACCTTTCATTCAGCCACTATTTATTGAGTACCTACTACGTGCTAGGCACCATGAGCTCTGGGATTCAACAGGATAAGACACCCAGGGCGCCTGCCCTCACAGAACAGATGTTGTCAGTGTACAGATATGACATGTAAATATACTATTAAATAACAAGCAGGCCGGGTGCGGTGGCTCACGCCTGTAATCCCAGCACTTTGGAAGGCCAGGGTGGGCAAATCATGAAGTCAGGAGTTCGAGACCAGCCTGGCCAACATAGTGAAACCCTGTCTTTACTAAAAATACAAAAATTAGCCGGATTTGGTGGCACACGCCCGTAGTCTCAGCTACTCGGGAGGCCGAGGCAGGAGAATTGCTCGAACCCAGGAGGCAGAGGTTGTGCTGAGCAAAGATCGCACCACTGCACTCCAGCCTGGGCAACAGAGCAGGACTCTGTCTCAAAAATAAATAAATAAATAACAAGCAGAACAATGACAGATTGTAATTAGCACAAGGAGAGAAATCAACAGAAAACAGGCACTTTTTGGGGGGGATGGAGAGATGGAGTCTTGCTGTGTTGCCCAGGCTGGTTTCGAAGCCCTGGGCTCACGCAGTCCTCCCTCTTCGGCCTCCCAAAGTACTGAGATTACAGGCATGAGCCACCATGCCCAGCCAAAAACAGGCACTTTGATGAGAAACAACAAGGCAAAGTAGGGAGAGCTGAGTACTGGGGAAGGCCTCCCGGGACAGACTGAGACCTGGAGGATGACGGTGCCCCTGATGGGCAACAGGAATGGCAGAGACCAAGGCAAGGGGATATGACCTGTCTCAGGCAGTCAGAAGGCTGATGTGGCTTGAGCCTTGGCTGTTGGGGTAGGCAGGACCGTGGCACATCAGGCCACCTTGGAGGCCAGGAGGAAGAGAGATGAGATGCTGGTGGCTCATGCTCTGGTGTGTACAGTGGAGTCGACGCGACCCACCAGGAGGCCGCGTGGTCTTCCAGGCAAGAGTCAGTGGTGGCAATGCGGTGGGAGAGAAGCAGGCAGGTTTGGGGCAATGTTTTGGAGCTGCTGCTACTGACTGGTTGTGGGATATGGGGGAAAGAGAGAAAGTGGTGGTGGCCTTTAGGTTTCTCATTTGGGAAACCGATTGGGGGCAGTGGTTAGGATTGCACCAGGTCTAGGAATGTCCAGGTGGTGGGAGCATGTGAACAGAGTCACAGAGTACTCAAGTATTAATGCATCACAGTGCTCCTTAGAAATGCATTTATAAACATCAAGCACTTTCCTGTATTGGACTTGGAAACGAGGAGACTTGAACTTGGAATGAGAAGAAGACTTGAAAACTTCCACGTCTTCTCCTCGTTCATGCTGGTGGAGGAGGGTTCATTGGATCCAAAGGCTATGGGAGGTTCTTCCCAGCAGTGGCTCTATGGGAATGTGTGGAGCCGTGGAGTAGGGGGTTGGAGAACCAGGCAAGTCTCTTCCCTTTTCTACACCTCAGTGTTCCCATCTGCAGAACGGGGATGTTGGGTGGAATAACCGCCAAGGCAGCACAGGCGAGGACATTCTCTCCATCCCTCACTCACCAGCTGTCCCTGCTTTCCAGCGGTCAGGGTGAGCCCCTGCCACTCCCGGCAGCCCTCTGTCATCTCCGACGCATCTGCCGCCGAAGGCGACCGGTCGTCCACACCTAGCGACATCAACTCCCCTCGACACCGGACGCACTCCCTCTGCAACGTAAGGCCAGCAGCAGCGGGGCCTGGGCCCCTGGGCCCTGCCCGGAAACCACAGGGGTGGGGGTGGCGGGGTGAAGCCATACTCGCTGTTTCCTCTCGTCCACCCAGGGAGCACTCTGGCGAATGCATTTCCTGTTCTGTTCTTTCCTTTTGCAAGAAGCGATGGATGTGGGGAGAAAAAGGAATGAGGCCCGTTTGCTCCTTGTGTCCGGGAGGGTGAGGAGAATCCAGAGGAAGTGGGCCTGGGTCGGCCGCAGGCGCAGCCTGGAACTCTGCCCCAGTGGGCCCTGTCTGGGACTGTGGGCTTCTCCTCCCACGCATTACCTTCCAGAGCTCAGGGCCTCCCCAGCACAGCCTCATTTCCCTTTAGAGCCAGCTCTCCATCCTGACCCAGGAGTCTTGGCATGAATCGCCTCTGGAGAGGTGTGTGAATATGGTCTAAGTTTGTTTCCTTTGCTTATTTCATCAAACACTTGTGATTGCATGCTGGGCACCAGCTCCCAGGAGGCAGAGGCCCTAGCTGCCTAGCTCTTGATGACTAGTGGGGCAGACAGATGGGCTCTGCAACAGTGAGGGAGTAAATGAAGATGGGTCGAGCTTCTGAGGACAGTCGGAAGCCATGTCCAGGCTCTAACATGAAATATTGGGGTCCGGGTGTGGAGACCACCTTGAATTCGTGTTCTGTCACACAGTTGGTAATGCAGAGGCTCCCCTCTACCATATCCTAAAGACAGAGACATCACAGGGTTAGATCCTGAAATGCACAAGATGGCTTTTCCCAAAACACAGTTAATGCCACTTTATTAACCAGCGAAATAGATAATAAAAAAGAAATGAGGTGAACACATTGGACAAAACCATTAGTTGCCAATGACATGATTCTCTACCTGGAAAACTCAAGAGAATAACTTGAAAAGCTATTAGAACGAATAATAAGCATGTACATAACAGTGCTGCTTGGAAATCAATGTGTAAAAATCAATCACTTTCCTATAGATGAGTCATAATGATGGAACCATTTTTTTCAATCCACAATAACAATGAAAAGTGCTTATAAAAATAGCTAAGACTAAAATTCAGAGAAGCTACCTCAGTCTGCTGAGGTGGGCGGCAGGGATTGCTGACCCGGGGACCTTAGACGGCCTCCTCAGAGTGGGAAAAAGGTCATTTGCTGCCTGGAGCCCTGCTCAAGGCTGGGATTCTCTTTTTTATTGTTTTATTTTATTTATTTTTGTGTGTGTGTGATGGAATTTCACTCTTGTCACCCAGGCTGGAGTTCATTGACGCAGTCTCAGCTCACTGCAGCCTCTACCTCCCAGGTTCAAACAATTGTCCTACCTCAGCCTCCTGAGCAGCCGACATTACAGGTGTATGCCACCACACCCGGCTAATTTTTGTATTTTTAGTAGAGATGAGATTTCACCATGTTGGCCAGGCTTGTCTTGAACACCTGACCTCAGGCGATCTTGAACACCTGATCTCAGCCTCCCAAAGTGCTGGGATTATAAGCATGAGCCACGGCACCCAGCGGGAGTCTCTATTTTATACTGGTGCTTTAAGGAAGCAGTATGTTCTTCTCTTGTCCCCAGGAGAGAATCCTACTGACAAAGGCTATCTTGACTAACAGAACCAAGGCAAGGAAGCTGGGCCACTAGAGGGGTCTCTGACATCCATTCCCTGATTCTGAAGGACCACTGTGGAATTACATCTAGAACCAGCAGTGTCCCTGCACCATTCTCATCCCAATTGAGAATACCTTCCTCCCATGGCCATATTTTGCCTTCTCATGGTGGGCCCATGGGGACTCTGGCAGCAGAAATGCTGCTGGAAAAATCTCATTCTGCAGAAGGAGTTCTCCAAAGGCCTCTTGAATTGCACTTGACCCAGCCCTGGCCTTTTGCCCACCATAGCCTTGGCACATGCCTGCTGCCAGGAAATGGGTGCTTTGATTTGTCTGCATACAGGCATTTCAGTGAGCAGGCCCCATTCTCTTTACCCGTAGATTTGGCAAAGATGTTCCTATCCAGATTGGAACTATTTTAGCTGCCTTCAGAATGGGTTCTGTTTGCAAACCTTGAGACTGAAGACTAAACTACCATTCATTAAATTCCCTCACTTCTTCAACCCCTTTTATCCCCCCATCTCAACAGGTGTGCACAAAGGTAAGCCAGGAAGAGCCCGAAAATAGCTACAGGTAACCCTTTGCCTTGGGCATCTGACCTCCACCAGCAAGAATAGTGCAGCCTGGACTAATGACTGCCTCATCCTCTCACCCTCTGGCCACTAATTTAGAGCAGAAGTAGGGACTCAGCATAGAGAGGTTGGAGAAGGTTGATGGACCTTGGCATTGTGCTTGCAATTCCAGAAATAACCACCAGGAGTCAGAAATAACCACCAGGAGTCAGAAATAACCACCAGGCGTCTCCCTAGTAATGACTGTTTTGATCCAAAGGATCTGTGGGCTCCAGCAGGACAGACTGATTCTGGGATGTAGTGAAGGCTTTTGTACCCCTGCAGGCTATTAAGGCTTCCCTCTGTACCTACCTAGGGCAGGGCTGGCAACACAATGGAAATATCCTACCTGCCCATCCTAGGGACCTGTCTGAGGTCCCCTAGGAAAAAGGGAAGGAGCTCAGACCTCTTCTGGGGTAGCCCAAAGCTCAGGACCAAGTGTGCATTACCCTGGAGCTCCTGCCTGGAAGGAGCACTGTGCCAGGAGGAATCTGACAGTCCCCACTTCGAGTTGTAGCTCTGCATCTAATTAGCTCCATGGTAGTGGACTGTCTGCTGCCTCTGTTGATATCTGTGAATAGGGCTAACGAGTCCTGCCTGCCTCTGCACAAAGAGAGATTCACTGTGTTGGTTGTAGGGGAAGACAGAGGCTACATGGTCTCCTAAGTTTGTTTCTGTCCCAACATTCTTTATTTTGTGCTTTTTCTATAAAACTACATTTCTTTATGAAAAGCACCAAGTCTAACCAAGCTCTAGCTCTAAGTCAGTGGACTGATGGGGACAGGAACTTAGACGCCCTGGAGTGGCTGATTTGTTGGTCAGAAGATGTTGGGGGTTGAGAGGCCAGACCAGGCAGGAGAGGACCCCAGGGCCTCTGGGGAAATTCTAGGCCCCAACAATAAGCCATCTGGGGGTATCTGCTTCAGGAGATGGGGGGTGGGCTCCCGACTTCAGAGGCAGGGTGGTCCCTGAGGGATGGCATCCTTCTACGGAAGGCCCCACACTGCACGGGCCACCTCTGCTCTCCTGTGTCACATGTCTCTGCTGTTTCATCTTCCTCTTCTCCTCTGGCTACAGGGCGACAGTCCCGGCCCAGTTCAGAAGAACCTGCACAACCCTATTGTACAGGTAGGTGTCCCCTCCCTGGCCACTTGGGCCCTCCCTCCACCCCACCTTAACTGCGACTTCACTCTCTGTTCCCCTGAGCCCACATCCATGCTGCATACCCAAGGTGGAGAGGATTTATGCCACTTCCAGAGTCTCAGGTGGGCTGGGGCCTGAGCCAGGCTCAGCACCTGGGCCCACCTGGCCCTGTGCCCTGCAGGACTGTGGAGCTACCGAGTGCACACATGTCCTCTGTCCTGATGCCCTAGCCATGGCTTACCCTGGCAGCCAGCTCTATAAAATTCCCATTATTATTGAAAAGCTCATAGCCCAGGCAGTGGGCTCTTTGTGCTCCTAGAAACTTGATTCATTCTTAACATTTTTTATATTCTGTCATCAGAATGAGGAGGGGGCTGCAGGGAGGACAAACAACGTGAATCTGAGGGTCTGCAGGGGTCTCCGAAGTCTTCTTTCTAGTCCTGGGGTCCCCACCTGTGGGTCTGCACAGCACCCATCTGCATCGGAGACCACCAGGGAAGTGGTTCAAATGCAGATTCCTGGGCCATTTGCCCTAGAGATTCTGATCCACCAGGTACAGGGTGGGGCCTGGAATTCAGGAAATCCCTAAGTATTTGGGGAACCATGAGTCTAGTCTAAGCCCCGCCCCAGTTATGCATGATGCCACCATATGTCTTTGTGTGAAGCACTTGGCGGTTTGCAAAACTCTCCTGCAGATACCACCCAGATGCCTGTAGCGTCCCTAACAGGAGGGCAGAGTAGACCTTACCATCACCACCACCACCATCATCTAATATTCTTTTCCCACGTCACAGACAAGAAAGCGTCTCAGAGCAGCTGGAGTGCTTTCCAGGGTTCCACAGGTAGAGTCATGATTGGAACTGGAACCCGCAGTGGCCATACGGTCTCCTGTCCAGGGCAAGTGCCGAGCCCTTGTCCTCGGCTGACGCAGGCTCCAGACTCCTCCACATTTTCCGGACTCTCCCAGGCCCCCTTGCCCATGTCACTGTGTGCTTAGTGCCCTGACACGGCAGACAGAGCCTGTGGCCGCCTTTCCTCCCTATGGCCTCGCATCGTGGACATGACCACGGTCAGTGGCCGAGTGCATGGACATCCTCCTACAAGCCCTCAAGAAGCACCTGAAAGTTGTGGGCAAATGGAATTTAAACAATATAATTTAAACAATGTTGTTATAGTACAAATGACCACAGCTGCTCACATAGACTGAATGCCTGTGGTACACCAGACACCGTCCTTGGAGTCTTTTTCTTTTTTCTTTTTTTTTGAGATGGAGTCTCACTCTGTCTCCCAGGCTGCAGTGCAGTGGCACGATCCTGGCTCACCACAGCCTCCGTCTCCTGGGTTCAAGTGATTCTCCTGCCTCAGCCTCTCAAGCAGCTGGGATTACAGGTGCCTATCACCACGCCCGGCTAATTTTGTATTTTTAGTAGAGACGGGGTTTCACCATGTTAGCCAGGCTGGTCTCGAACTCCTGACCCCAGGTGATCCACCCGCCTCGGCCTCCCAAAGTGCTGGAATTACAAGTATGAGCCACCATGCCTGGCCTGTTCTCAGGGTCTTTATCCTCTCTTTAGCAACATCCTCGTGGCAATCTTGGAAGGGTCTTACTGTTGTCCCTGAGAGGCTCTGTGACTGACCCATGTTTGCTCAGTGAATGAGGGGCTGGCCTTGGCATTCCAGCCCTGGAGGTGGCTTAACCATCCCAGCCCGTCCCTGACCCCACTGGCTTAAAGCTCAGAAAGGCTTTCCCCTCCCCGGATCCCATCCACTGCAGTCTGCACCCCAGCTAAGCTCGCCTTTCTCCTTCTCCCCCACCTCTGCCACGTGGCTCCTGACTCCTCAGTCACTAGAGGATCTTGAAGACCAAAAACGGAAAAAGAAGAAAGAGAAGATGGGATTCGGCTCCATCTCCCGCGTCTTCGCCAGAGGGAAGCAGCGGAAGTCCCTCGACCCCGGCCTCTTTGATGGTACCGCCCCTGATTATTACATAGAGGAGGACGCGGACTGGTGATACGCGCTCCCCTGCGCCTGCTGCCCGCAGGCGTGTCTGTGCGTGTGGGCGTGCGTGCAAGCGAGCGTGGGTGCGCATGTGGCCGTGCGTGGGGTGCGTGTGCACGTGTGCGCTGGCACACACGGGTGCTGGGTGTGGCCAAGCGCCTCTAATAAGCGAAAACACGAGTGTGAACCTCTCTCCCCTGCGTCGCCACCTCTGTAATTGATGTACATACCGCAAACCGTGTGTGAACCTGTCAACTCTCTGTCGTCTTTGGAGCGATACCGTTGTGTTGTTAATCTGGTTTATTATTTTTCTTCAATGTTCGATTTTCTTTTTTTTTTTTTTTTTCTTTTTGTTTGGTTCGTCGGTTTGTTTTTGTTTTTGTTTTTTCCCCCTTTCTCCTCCCCTCCTCCTTTTTATGAAACTTGAAAACTTGAAGGACTGCTGTGTATTTGTAAATAACAAAACTATTGTGCACTCCGTGCTTGTAAATGTCCCTCGTCCGAACCGCTACTCCTGGAGCCCGTCTGGCAGAGGATGTGGTCTGTTTTTGATGTCCCCCCTCCCGCCCCGCTGGTGTGAACGTGTGGGACCAGACCCTGTCCTGGGGGTGCGTCCAAGTCACTTTAACCACAAAACGCCATCGTCGTCAGGGTAAGGTCCGCTCACCACAGAGACTCGGGAGCCCGGCCAAGGGGCCTTGTCTTGGCTGGGTTTGTCAGAGGTCAAACAGGCTCTTTTTAACGGCCTACCGGTTTTTAAATTGCGTTGCCATTTCTTTCTTTATGAAAAAAAAAAAAGAAAATTGTTTCATTTAATTTATTTGCACAAATGCTGAAAACTTATTCTATCTAAATTATTACATAAATATTGGAATGTCTATTTTTCCATGGGGTGGGCGGGAGGTGGGTGTCTCTGTTGACTTGTCTGTTCTGTTATCATGCTGCTACCCAACTGTGCAAAGTAGTTTAGGGTGGCCAGAACCCAGGGACCATTGGATTTCAAAGCTTGCTTTTTCTGTTCTCTCTTCTCTCTCCCTGTCTCTCTGTCTCCCCTGTTCTCCTGCCCATGCATGGAAGTGTCCTCCACCTTCTTCCCACCCAGAGCTCCCTCCGGGCCTTTCTCTCTATATTTATTTATCTGACATACAGAACGCGACCTCAGTGAGCAGCGTGCTGACAGTCATGATCCTCTTCTTGGGGTCTGTGTTTTGAGAGAGGTTGAGTTCAGGGCGAGACAGCCTGCCGCACATCCAAGGGTACGACCAGTGGGACCGTGGCCTGAGTCTGTTCCCCGAGGGGCCTCCAGCGGCATCTGTTCCTCCCTGCAGCTGTGTCTTTCTTGTCCTGGGTTTACAATGCAGGTGGGCCAGGCAGGTGTCATTAGGGGAGGCACCCACTTCAAGAGGAGGGCCACAGTGGGGACACAGAGTCCAGCACCTGAGCCCTCCACTCTCCCCATTCTCGTTGGTTCCATCGTCCACACTTAGAACCTCCCAGGATCCCTTGGACTCTGTGCCCCAACTTGTCACGGCAGCCTGAGCCTACCCACCCCAGGAGAGGAGGGCTGGCAGGAACGTCTGCCTATTCCGGGGGTGGCGTTGGCCCCAAAGAGGCTTCACCAGCAAAGGAACTGTGTGCATTTTAATACTGGGGGACGGAGGACGTGTGAGCTGCTCAGCTAGGTCTGCCCAAGGCCTAAGACTCAATTTCCTTTTTCTTTTGCTTCTGCCCATCCTTAACAACTAACAGCTCAACCCACACCTCTAGACAACAGTAGTTGTGCTTTCTGCTAATGGTAACATTTTCAGCTCTTAAAAAGAAGCTAGAGATTTTCAAATGCTAGAGTGTCTCTATCAGAAGGGATGGGACATTGTGTCCAAAGCCTCAAGAACAAACCACACTTTCCTTCTGACCTGGTCCAAAGGTCAGCAAAGAGCAAGCAGGCAGAGGCCCTCATAAGGACTCTTCTGTCCTCCTTTAGCCAAACTGTTTAACCGAGCCTAGGGGTGAGGGGGAGCGACCCGAGCTGACATCTTTCTCCATGGAGAGAGATTTTAGAAAATACTTTTCTCGCCCATGAATTTCATTTTTGGTTGATTTTTATTGTTTTCCCTTTACTTACAAGAAAATAAGATTGCAACCACTCCTGGTAATGATTTAGTAGTTCCTTTTCATTTCAGTTTTTGTAAATTAGGAGATAATTCTAAGAGTTACTAAAGGATGATTTATTTAAGAGAACTACGTCAAATAGCGAATGAGTTATGGGTAACATTAGATGAAAATAACCTTTCCCGTGGGAAAGGCTTCTCGAAGGCATGGATGCAAATATAAAATATTAAAAAAAAATCTAAATAAAGCTTATTTTAAAATATTATCGAATTCTATGTTATTTGATTGCTTCTATTTGGCTCCGGGTGGGAGGCTGTGCCCCTCTGGGAGGCACAGGCTGGCACGACCTGCTCCTTGGACTTCCAGGGCTGGGTTCTGGGAGGGGGGATGGGAGGGGCCGAGGAAAGCTGGCTGGATTCGGGGCCCTTGGGGGGCCGAGCTGGGGTCGCCTCCCAGAAGCATCTCGCCTCTGCTGCCCTGACTGTAATTCGGAGGGCTGCCCTGTGGTCCAAATGCACCACCCCCCACCTGGCACCCTGCATTGTGGAGCTTAGTGGCCCCAGTCAGCTTTCATCTGCTTCCTTCTCCCCCTGAGCTCCTTCCAGAGGCCCCAGAGGAGCCTGTGCATTGGGGCATGTTACTTCCCGCAGACCTCAGTGGGCCTCTGCACGTCCCATGATCCCACCCTCCCTGGAGGACCGAGAGGAACTTCAGGGAGACAGAGAGGGAGCCACAGGCTTCCTTGATTGAAGCCAGAGTGAGCCAGGCTTTTCCTAGCCCCAAGAGAACCCCCCAGATACAAAACTCAGGCCTCCCCCAGTGAGACTCTACTGTATGTCCCAAGAAGAGGATACCCAGGTTACCCCAAAGCCTGACATAATCAGTACCCTCAACCTCTATCTCCCAACTGAAAAAAAAGTTCTCCCCAGCAATAAGACTGATGGAGGACTGGCTTTTAAGTCCTCTCCCACCTCTGCAGGAAGAAAGCATAAAGCTATGTAATACAGAGAGCGTGCTGAGGTTAAAATGAGCCGCCAGTGAGTGAGGATGCAAGTGGATGTGGTAGGATTGGGAAGGCCGGGAAAGCCCTGGGTGACAAGGAGCTTAGGGCCATCTACCCCAGCAGTTCTCAGCCTGACCACACCTTAGGGGAAAAAAATACTCATTCCAGGCCATATTCCTGGAATCGAAGTGTATTTAAATCTCCTCAGGTGATTCTAAAGGGTTGCCAGGATTAGAATCGCTGAGCTGATCTGAGGAGGGCAAGTGTGGCCACACGCATGCCCCTACTCCCCTCTCCCTGGCCCCATGCAGACATCACAAATCAATTGAAGAGCCCTTCCTGCCTATCCCAAAGTGGCCTCTGATTTCTCACTTTACATAGCCTCAGATAGCCACGGCCAGTCAATCGCAGTTGGCATACAAGAATAAAGCCTTTTTGCCCTCTCAAAATGAACCCCATCTCTCATGCTGGACACATGGCAAAAAACTTTGGCCCAGAGAGGAATAACTTGGCCAGCGTCCTAGCTATTGTGCCTCATCCTGGGACCTTCTCAAGAGCCAGGCCACACCTTATTTGGGTCTTCGTAGCTCCACTCAAAAGCCACTGTACCTCCTTTGTTAAAAGAATCTTCTCCAGGGAGGCTGAGGCAGGACAATGGTGTGAACCCGGGAGTTGGAGCTTGCAGTGAGCTGAGTTTGCACCACTGCACTCCAACCTGGGTGACAGAGTGAGACTCCATCTCAAAAATAAATAAATAAATAAATAAATAAAGAATCTTCTCCAGGACCTTGCTCCAACTTCAAATGGTACCTATTAGTCAGAAATTGGAGTATGGCTGCCCAGGGCATCCAGGGCCAGCATACCAGCTGCACAGGTTGTGCACTGCATTACTGCAGAAGGTGCCATTCTCCAGGCTACCACGTGAATGGTGTCCTGGTTTTTCAGTACACAACCTGCATGACTGTACTCAGTGGCCCGTCTGTGGTGTGCTCCTCCTACCCACGTTGGCAGGCTAAAACAGCTGTAACCAATAATAACAATAACAATAATAGTATCTAACATTGGTTAGGCATTTACCACAGGCCAGGGTCCATGCTATGCAATTTACACATATTAACTCAGTTAACCCTCCCAACAGCCTGTCACTGATGAGAAAACAGAGGTTGAGTAACTCATCTGAGGTCATGGAGCCAGGAGACTATAGAACTGGGCCTCAAACTATGGAGTTTTGGCTACAGAGTTTGTGCCCTGAACCACTCCACCATCTGAGCAGTGAGGGGCTACCACCGAGCAGCTGGGCCTTCTCCCTGGGGGGCATCTTCAGAGCATCATCTGGGCCTGGTTTCAAGGCCCCTCGCCCACCAGTAGCCTCTGACACAGCCTTGCACTGCGTCACTTTCGTGACTGAGTCTATTCGCATCAGCCTTTTGCCCGCAGGCCCAGAAAGCTCACCCCTAGAGAGGAATCAGCGGGGGAATCAGAGCAGAGACCAGCTGCTGTCCAGCACCAGCTCTCCCTTCCTCTTCCTGGCCAAGTCAGGAACCGAATCACCTCCACTGGCCCTGCAGTCAAACCCCCGGCTGTACCAGAGCTGCAGATCCTGAGGGGTAGTGCAGCTCCCCACACCCGGGGAGCTCTGTGGCACCCTTCCCCACCACAGCATGAGCCTGCAGTCCAGGAGCCGCCCTGCACCTGTGACACATGTCATACCTGTCACTCAACCTGGGCTCCTGGGGGATCCAGGCAGAGCGAGCCTGAACCGTGGGGGACATCAGTCATTTGACAAAATGATTTTTAAAAAAACCTCTGGGCCAAAAATTAGCCAAGTGTGGTGGCACACGCCTATAGTCCCAGCTA